GGTGGGGGTGTGTCCCTAGTTACCCTTGTAGAATGTGTGGTGAAGGAATAAACCATAAATTGGAAGAGGCTTGAGAAGGAAGAGGTGAGGGTGGGGGTGGGAGCTGCAGGCATCCTTGGGAACTGGGAGGCTGAGGCTCAAGCACCTGGTAGGCATCCCCGGTGCTCTATCTGCTCCCTCTCAAGGGCCAGTCCCTGAGGGTCTGCTTCCTGAGGCAGGGCTGGGAAGGAAGGTGGGCCCTGGTGGTGGTTGGATACCTCCTGTGTGCCAGGTCACAAGTCCCTTCTCTCTTTTTATCTTCCTAGCAGCCCTGGCAGGAAGAATGATATCCCCATTTTATGAATAAGTGAGGCTCAGAGACTTGACTTTCCCAAGGTCACAGAGCCAGTGGGTGGGGAAGCATATTCAAATCCCCTTGGCCTGGGGTCAGAAATCCAGCATTCCCAGAGCCCTANAGCCAGTGGGTGGGGAAGCATATTCAAATCCCCTTGGCCTGGGGTCAGAAATCCAGCATTCCCAGAGCCCTACCTTCCCCAGCTGGTGGCATTAGTGTGTGTGTGTGTGTGTGTGTGTGTGAGTGTCAGTGAGTGAGAGCACATGTGATACGTGTTGGTGCAAAAGTGTGAGTGTGTCAGCAAGAGGGAGCATGTGTGTGTATGTTTGAGAGAGAGATGTATGAGTGATTATTGTATGTATGTGTGAGAGAGATGTATGAGTGTTCATTGTATGTGTGTGTGTGTGAGAGAGATGTATGAGTGTTTATTGTATGTGTATGAGAGAGATGTATGAGTGTTTATTGTGTGTGTCTGTGAGAGAGATGTATGAGTGTTTATTGTGTGTGTGTGGGATGTATGAATGTTTTGTGTATATGTGTATGTGTGTGAGAAAGATGTATGAGTGTTTATTGTGTGTGTGAGAGAGATGTATGAATGTTTAGTGTGTGTAAGAGTGTTTTGTGTATGTGTATGTGTGTGTGAGGGAAAGATGTGTGAGTGTTTTGTGTGTGTGTGTGTGTGTGTGTGAGAGAGAGAGATGAGTGTTTATTGCTCATCCGGGTGGGATCAGACCAACTGTATGCATGGCACCCAGTGTTCCCCAGAATTGCCCCCTGCTGCCCTGTTTCAGCTGACAACTCATCTCTTTCTCCTACAGCTTCCTGTGCCCACAGGCCCTGAGACTCTGGTGCCCATGGGCAAAGAGGGCAACTGAGTAAAGCCCAGGCTAACCCTCAGCCCAGTTGCACTCCCCAAATGCCTGCCCGACCTGAGGTAAGAAACCACTCTGGGACACTCTGCAGAGTGGGGTCCCAAAGGGAGAGGCTGTAGGGAAGCCATTCAGGGGCTGTCTTTCTGGGGGTGCCTACCTCTCTCCCTCCCCACGAAGTCCAGTCTAGGAGGTTTGATGGTATAGTGCCACTTCCCACTAGCCCTTGCTATAGGAGGGCTCTGGAAGCCAGCTCAGAAGCCTGGAACATTCTTCTGAGTAATAAGGTTTCATGGACATGTCAGCTAATGGGTTCCTGTGCGGTGTGGGAGGTCTCTAATGGTGAGCTGAAGGACTCTGTCCTTGGTTGTGTAACATTGTTCACAAAATGTGTGCATGACTCCAGGTTAGGAGGAGGTGGAAACAGGTGAACTGAGACAATCAGGGTCTAAGAAACTGTTAAGCTAGCTCTGGCCCGGCCGGACGTGGCTCAGCGGTTGAGCCATCGGGGTTTGATTCCCGGTCAGGGTACATGCCCGGGTTGCGGGTTCAATGCCCAGTTGGGGGCGTGCAGGAGGCAGCCAATCAACGACTCTCTCATCATTGATGTTTCTATCTCTCTCTCTCCCTCCCCTTTGCTCTCTCTGAAATCAATAAAGATATATTAAAATAAAATAAAAAAAAAGAAGTTGGCTCTGATGTGTGGGGTTTAACGAGGTTCCTAGCAATTCTCTCAGTGTGTGGGTCCAGACACTGTCCAGGTAAGATGAAGCACAGCCCCATGTGTGTATGAGTGACAAGCACTGGCAGCCAGGTGACTTTGGCTATGTGTGAGTAGAGCAAATGGCCTCTTGGACTGTATCATGAGGAGCAGGACAACCAGAATGTGGGAAGTGACAGGCCCTCCCACTCCATGTCCCATGTGAGAGAATGTGGAGAAACTGCATCAAGTCCCAAAGAGGTGGGAAGTGGGGAAGGAATGGGAACCGGGTTGCTGCCTGGCTTGACCCCTGGCTTGGTTGTGACCTTGGACAAGTGACCTCTACCCTTTATCCAGGGCAATCCCCTGTCCTGACAGACCTCTGTGACCCATGAGAGGGCTACAGAGAAATTTGCTAAATAGAAGGAATGCTGGGGAAAGGCTTGGGGAGCAGGCTGGACAGGAATGTGCTCCCCGTTTTTCAGGTAAAGAAGACCCAGCAGCTCAGCAGAGCAGCAGGCCTCCAACCCTCTTCCTCAAGGATGGGGTGACAGTTTCAGTAGGTGTGGCTGAGGCTCAGCTGACACTGTCCTGTCAACCAGGAAGCTGGTGGGGGTGTGGCAGGGGGTTTCCTTCCTAGGCATTAGGCCTTGCTTTGAAGTCCAGTTATCTTCAACAGAATATTCCTGCTAATCAGTCAGTCCTGGGTGGAAGGAGCAACTAATTAGCCTCTCCATTTTGACCTGTAATTGCTGCTGGGAGATAGAGAGAGGATGCCGTCAAGTTTGTTTCTAAGGTGGCCAGGGTGATGTGAGGACCTGGGGCGGGGGAGTCAGGGAGACAGGGCGGCCTGGCCCTGCCCCCACCCTCAACAGGAGCCACAGCAGCCTCCCCACTACCCAGGAGGATGGCACTGTGGAAGCTCAGCGGGCAGGGAGCCAGAGGGGAAGCTAACTCAGAATGGAGGCTGTTCTCAGCTGGGAAATGAGAGGGGCGGGGGAGTGGATGAAGGGATGCCTGGGCTGAGACTTAAAGGCTGTAGGATTATTTTAAAATGTTCTGTTTTTCTGACTATTAAAGAAGTGTGTGTTCTGTGTAGAAAATGTGAGTGCTTGGGTGCTTTCCCGTCATTCTTTTACAAAATATATTTTTATAACATAATTGGGATCAAACTGTACTTACTGTTTTCTAACCTGCCTTTTGCACTTAATACTATAGCAAGATCATTTTCCCATCATTAAATACTCTTCTGTAATGTGATTTTTAAATGGCAGTGTAATGTTTCAGCCTGTGTGAGCCACAGCATGTTTAACCAATTCTCTGTTGTATATTTTGATCGTTTCCAATGGTGTATCATTATAAATACTGCCTGGGTCCATCAGGATCTTCTGATTCAGAGTCACTGTGGGAACCCAGAAATCTGGATGATTCACAAGCTCCACAGTTCTGATCATCTGCTGGGCCAACCCAGACTCACACTTGGAGAGTACAGCTGTACTTGCACACCTGAAGGGATGGGGACCTCACACTCTCCAGGGTAGCCCAGACCCTGGAGGTAGCTCTGATTTGGATAAAGCCATGCATGACTTGTGCTGACTGAGCTGAACCTGCCTGCCTGCCACCTCCATGGAGGTCTAGGCTCCACATGGGACAGAGACCATACTTGGCACTTGGGAACTCTCCTTTCTTACTCCCAGGGACCAGTGGGGGGTTGGGGGCTGGCAGGTGGTGAGAACTCAGGCAATGTCTGTGGCTTGACGGATGGAGGATTTGCCTCCTTCCACCTCTGCCTGCCTGGAGCAACTCTCTATGCTAAGGGTGTGGCTGTGGCCACATCAGCCAGCCCTCTGTGTGTCAATCCAGCCATCACCATGTGTGTTGAGGGCTGTGGCCTTGTCAGAGCATATCTCATCCATTGTCTCACTTCATCCTTATCACAGCCATGTGAAAGGTGGATGCTGTTGTCCTATTCATTCTTCCAGCAAGCATTTATTGAGCATCTACTGTGTGCCAAGCAGTGGGATGATGGGAACAAGTCAAGGTTTAGAGAGGAGCAGGGGCTTGTCCAGTGTCACATGACCACTGAAGGCCTGAGTTAGCGCTGAAACCTAAGTCTGCAGGTGTATTAGTTTGCTAGGTCTGATGTAACAAAGTATTATAAACTGGATGGCTTAAACAGAAACCTATTGTCTTATAGTTCTAGAGGCTTGAAATCTGAGATCAAGGTGTCCTCTGGTTCCTTCTGAAGGCTGTGAAAGAGGATCTGTGCCAGGTTTCTCTCTTGAGCTTGTAGATGGCCATCTTCCTCTGTGCCCCCCAAGATGTTCTCCCTGTGTGCTAGTCTGTGTCCAAATTTCCTCTTCTATAAAGACAAGCCATATTGGATTAAGGGCCCACCCTACACCAATATGACATCATCCTAATTAACTAATCATATCTGCAATGGCCCAATTTCCAGATAAGCTCACATTCTGAGGCAACAGGGGTTAGAACTTCAACATATAAATTTTGGGTAGGGGGGCACGCAATTCAACTCCTCATAGCTAGACTTGGGATTTCCACAGCTGTGCACTGGTGGTGGGGAGCATCTCATGTCTCAAGGTGTGCAAGGGGGAAGGTGAGGCTGCCTAACTTGTCAGGGATCTAGAGGAGATTACTATGTCAGGGCCATGACTAGGGCTCTCGGAGGTCTGTTTCAGCCAGGATGTTAGTCCAGGCCCAGGAACAGTCTCATTCTTGTACACTAGTGGAAGGCAGGTATGGATGATCAGTCTGGGAGGAGGAATTTCCGGGGCTCTGTACCCTCAGCTGGGTGACCTGGGGCAATTGCTTTCAATCCTGGACCTCAGTCTACCTAACTGTGAATTTGGGAGCATCCTGCCTGCCTGTGAGAGAATGAATAGGAAGGTTTTGCTTTTGTTTATTTTCATATATTCAGCCTGCACACATTTATTCAGTGTGGCTGTCTGCTGGGCCCTGTGCTATTCCCAGGGACACAGAGATGAGATACTCATGGCCCTGCCCCGCAAGACATGTATAGGCCATGGGTGGGACAGGAAGATGAAGGCAGCACTCAAGGTTATGCCTGTTCTAGGGCCAGACTACGTGGATTCAGTCCTAGCTCTGCCTCTTGCTAGTGATGTGAATTTAGGCCATTTCCTTAAGCTCACTGGACCTCAGTCTCTTCATCAGTAAATTGTGAATAAAAATAGCATCTACCTTGTGTGAATTAAGTAGGTTGGTGCATGTAAAAGGCTTATAGCAGTGTTGGGTACATAGTAAATGCTTAATTTGAAACTGGACACAATGGGTCTGGGCTGCCTGTCACTACTTCAGCCAATTAAGCAGAGACAAGGTTGAATCAAATATGAGCATTTATTCCATTTTTGCCGGAAAATGGGAGAGCAGTGGGATTTGCCCACATAAAATCTGCTTCCCTTATTACCTGTCCTTCCCTTATTACCTGGCTGCTTATATAGGGCTGCATGCAAGAGAGAAGTGGGGGGGTGGGGGGGTGGCTGCAGGATCTGTGGTCCTTGTGTCTCCTTCCAGGATCTTGAAGTCCAGTAACAAGGTAGTTAATTTTCAGTGGTGTTAAAACCCAGTTCTGCCAGTTCCTGAGACCAGAGGATAGTCAGCATTCCTGAGGTAAACTCCCAGAGGGGGTCAGGCTCCAGGAACAGCAATCAAATCAAAGCGCATCCTGTACTTTGTCTGTTCTTGAGATGCATTTTCTTTTCTGAGCAATGGACCCATCCAGGCCCCAAGGTGTCTCATCTTTACAGCACTGGTTTTCTTCTTGTAGCACATCTTCCAGTTTCCTGGGAACTGTAGGAAAACTTCTTATCTATAGTTAGTAAGGTAAATAGTCATTAAACAACTATGGTCCTATTCCTATTAGATGCCCTCCCCCTTTCATAATCACAGTTAACAGAGTATGATCAACATCTCTGCCCCGAACAAATAAATATAATTCTAAGTTATCAGCTATAGGACGGTATGAAAGAGGGCAGAGTGTGAAGCTGTGCATAGTGTTAAGTAGGCTGTACAGTCCCTACCCTGTCTGGGTGCCCTGCCATCCTATTAACCCTTTAGCCATCTGCCAGCCTTTGCTCCTAGGGCACTTTGGGTATGGGCTGGTAAGGGAGATATGGAACAGGCGACCCAAAGGGAGAGGTTAGAGGCCTTCTCACAGTCATGGGTAGGAGTTTGGGGGTCTGTGCAGGTGGGGTGGGGCGGGGTACCTGCCACTCATGCCTCTGCCCCCTGGGGAAGGGGTGCCTAGTTGCCAGGTGCTTTGCTTTGTTAACCTTTGTGTTTAGTTGGCAGGTTTGGGGGGAGAGGAGATGGTGAGGAGGCAAAATT